ACGCTGGGTGGGTGGAGGTAGGTGGTCTGGGGCGGGGGCCCCACGCGCTGACCGGCGCCGCCCCCAGAACTCCCCCGGCGCCGTGGGCGGCCTGAGCAACGCCCCGGGGACCCCGCGCGACGACGGCGAGATGGCGGCCGCCGGGACCTTCCTGCATCCGTTCCCGAGCGAAAGCGTAAGCGCCTGCGTCGACTCCCCACCCGCGGCCGCGGCGGGCCGGAGGGGCCTGGCGGGCAGACCCCGGCGGGGCGGCCGCGGGGCCAGAGCAAGACCGTGACCGCGGCGGGCCAGGTGGGGGGGCGGCCGCGGCACCTTCCCCTCCTCCCCACCCTCCCCGGGCTCCCCCTGTCCCCGGGAGGGCGGGCCACAGCCTCGGCCGGAGCTGAGCCGCGCTCCGCGCGCCGCCCTCTCTCTGCAGTACTCCCCCGGCATGACCATGAGCGTGTGATAGCCCAGGCCTGAGCCCAGCGTCCTGCTGGTGAGGTCTCGGCTCGCGCCTCTGCTACCCGGACTCCTGGCCAGCCCAGCCTGGATGGCCAGCAGGGCCCCCACGAAGGACTTTCTCATTTTCTAAACACACGCGCGCGCGCGCGCACACACACACGCACGCACACGCACACAGACGCGCGCAAGGACCTCAGAGACCTTCGGACCTGTGTGCTGTCACGGGGCTTGGGGACGGAGGGGCTGCCAATAAACACACTTGGTTTTGTCTTTTTGGAATGGCTGGTTTCCCTCACTGGACCACTAGCTTTGGCCTCAGTCCCTGCTCAGATGAGTCGGGTGAAGCGGAGACGTCAGCACAGGGACCAGGCTGGTGGCGCCGGCCTTTTAACCCCAGCTCTGGGGCAGAGGCAAGTGGATGGGTTGAGTTCGAGGCCAGCCTGGTCTACACACCAAAACTCTAAAAAGCCACAAGGAGGCCTGCCTGACGGGGACCCTTTATTTCATCGGCAAGGTCTTGGGGACAGTAGAGGAGGGTTGGGGTGAAAGGATCACTCCATTTAAGCAGTGGACACCTCTGGAGTCGGTGCCTGGGCATGCCCGTTGGCATCGCCGGTGCAGCCGTTGGTGGCAGCGGGTGTGGACTCCTTCTTGTGTGGCAGTGGGCTGGTGGCTGCCGTCTCTCCTGGCTTGAGGGCCGGGCCTGGGCGCTCCATCTTGTGCTCTAAGAGCATGTGGTTCTGGGGCGGGAGCCCCACACAGGCCCTGTGGGGAGAGCGTGGACTCAGCGGGGCCCCAGGACTGGCCTGCCGGCCCTGGGTCCTGCCCCCCACCAGGCGCACCTGAGAATGTTCTCGATGCAGCTGCGCTGTCGGAAGAGCGCGTTCACCACGGGGCTGCCCGGGGGCACCAGCGGTGCCTTGAAGAGGAAGCTGAGCAGGGACAGCACGGGGTGGAAGCCCTGAGGCTCGGGGTCCAGGTCGGTGCAGAAGTTCACGCGCTGACAGAGCTCAGTGAGCAGCACTAGGTCCAGCATGATGGGCGCCGCCAGGAGCGAGTCCTCACAGGTGTTGTGGAGCACCAGGGTGTTGGTTCCACCCAGCATCAGCTCTGAGGTGTACTCGTCCAGGGCGCGCTTGCTGTCACCCACGTAGGGCACGTATTTGATCACCACCTGCGGAGGTGCATCAGGTCGCACGGCCCCCCGGCACCGCGCCGGGGCCCCTGCCCGCCCACGCCCCACCTACGCAGTGGTCTGGCTCCTCTCCAGGAGCGTAGAGCACGCGGTTGCTCTGGACCATGTCGTCCACCACGCTGCTCTTGGACACTTCCTTGGAGCGGAACTGCTGCGGAGCCGACAGGTTCTGCCCGTCGTTGTTGCCCAGGTGGTTGTAGCTCACGATGGACATGGTCTGTGTGGTCAACGCAGTCATGACGGATGCGGGCGCCCGGCCCTGCAGCACCCTCACCAACCCGGGTTTCTGGCCCCCTTCTGGCACCTCATGAAGCCCCCGGTACCTTGAGGCCAGAGCCAATGAGGAAATCCACCAGAACGGACTTGACCTTCGTCTGCCCGGACTTGAAATCATCTCCACCCACGAACACATGGCGCTGCGAGGCCAGCTCCAGGGCACCGGGCACCAGTGTGTTCTGTGGGGACCCGTTGAGGAAGGCGCAGCCCTCCAGGATGCTGGCCACCGCAAAAAGTGTGGACGGTGACACCTCCAGACCAAGCTGAGGGCAGAGAGGCAGTCAGCCCAGGCCCCCTCTGGCCTGGCCGCGGCTCCCAGCATTCGGGGCGTGCGCCCACCTGGATAGTGCGCAGCAAGTTTTCGGCTGTGTCGTTGCGACCTGCGACCACCTCGCAGAAACGCTCCGTGTTGGCGGTCCACAGCACAATGACCTTGTCCAACCCCGCGCTGGACCGGAAGTCTCGAATGTCCTTTCGGATCTGCTCCAGCTGGGAAAGGATGGGGGAGAGTGGGTGGAACCGTCCAAGCGCCCCCCCCCCAGGCGTGGGCCGCCCATTGCGCGGGACAGGGAGGGAGGACCACAGGCCAGTGTGGGGCGGTGAGCTGGGGAAGCGGTCGCGGCCTCCACCTGCTGCGCGCGTGTGCCAGGGATGAGGTTGTCCGCACGTGCCGTCTGGTTGGCAGCGATGAACTCGGGGATGTAGACGGAGGGCCGCGGGCGCAGGCTCTCCATGTGGGGCCACAGCTGCTCCTGCAGGCCGCAGTCCAGGACCTGCGCGCGCCGCATCGCCTCGGCCAGGTTCAGGGACGAGATATCCCAGCCTAGGTGGGGGGGACCCTCACTCTGGACCCATCCTCCACCCTGGGCCTCCCCACGCCTACCCCCTTCCCACCCCGAGGTTCCGCCCGCCCACCGTCAAACACCAGGTCGTTGGGGGCCACCATGGGCAGCAG